CAGTCATGGAACAGCTAAAAATCAGCTAATTATCATGAATATTAGGTAATTAATATGCATGGATTTTCATCAAAACCTAATCAAATCTGCGCATTGACCCAGAGCATCTATGCACCAAGTTTCATCAAAAATCAATGTATGGTTCTTGAGATATCAGTGGAACAGACACACAGAGACAGACACACACACACCCACAGACAGACAGACAGACAGACAGACACGACTGCAAAGACTCCCTTTTTTTGCTTCGCACAGGGGAGTCAGAAAGATACTGTGGAAACTACAAAATAAATGTCAGTGAATACAATATTTATTAATTTGCAGCCTCCATGGACAAGTTCACAGCCTCTAATATTGCAAAACCGTTAGTTGTGAACTGAACTTTAAATTTCATCAGGATTTTCACATGAAGTTACACAGATATAAAAAAAATGCAATATTAAGACAAAGAAAAATAATGCCTTTTTGTCAAGACTATATCCTAATTTCTCTTATTTTGGGAGTATTTTTGTGAGTGTATATGTATGCATTAAAATTATCGTAACTTAAAATGTAATCATAGTACAAATGTAAAGTACACACAATTATCGAGTTATTTAGGATTTGTTCATGTGACATGGTCTAATTGGTGGTGGGAATTGCCAACTATAAAACAAGCCGGTAGGCTGGTTGGCGATCCGCTCCGCTCCGGTCAAAAACAAGCAACATCATATTTTCGGCTGTTGCTATGGTAGGACATGAACGTGAAGCTAACGTCAGTTTATAACTAAAACCGTATACTAAGTTCGCAAAAAAAAACGTTCAGTCTTTAGAAGTCACTTGTCATTGTATTCTGCTGTTAAATTTATTATTTCCAACCGTTTTGCAATAGTATTTTCTTGATTGAAGGCAGCATTTACAGTTCATTCATAGTTCGTAGTTGCGTTTGGGATTACGTTGATACAGTGTAACAATGTTGGCGCCGGTGATCTTTTTCCAGTGTGCCAAAATAAAAAAAACAAAAACATTATCATATACACTGCAATTATAAGACTGCTAGGAGGTCGAAAGTATCCAAAAATCAGTTTCTGGCTGTTGCCATGGCAGCAGTGAGCGAGAATTTTCTTTCAATTAGTGACGGTCCAACCTGCCTGTCAAGTATGAACAAAATCAGCCAAGCCACACAAAAAAAAACAAAAAACACAGAGCAGTTAAAAGCCGCTGGTGGAAAGTTCCCCCAACTTTGAGGTCAAGTTTTTCGGTAATGAAAATAGACATAAAACAAGCAGTAAATTTATGCACACTCAAGCTGAGTAGAATGAGCTACTTAATCCTACAAACATTTTTCAAATTTCAAATTTCTCGGTAATAAAAAAAAAATGACTGTTACTATGGCAACGAGAGCCAATTTTTTTCTTCAGATTTTACCTAATAACTAGGATGATAGTGTGACCTGCCTGCCAAGTTTGAGGGAAATATGCCAAGCCAAAAAAATCACAGAAGAATTATTACGTGAAAACACTGGAAATCGTGACTTGCTTTATTAAAACATATTTTGTTCGCGGTGGGAATTGATAAAATAAAACACGAGTAAACAAATAACAGCAAGTGTGTCTATCACGTGATATTCACTTTTAAATAAAGTCCTTACTATTAAAGCACATAAGTTTATTAGTTATATACCCTATATATAAAATATGTTTTTGAAATGCAGTCCCTCACCCCCTTGGCTATTTTCGCAGATTTTTCGTCGCCGGAGCGATTCACGTCCCAAATGTTGGTTCTCTGGGCGCCTCTAATAAATACTCTATCTAACCGCTGGACTGAATTAGCTGAATTATGAAAGGTTCATAGAAGATTGGGCGAAAATCGGTCGTTTTTGGCCTCAACGTTTTTTTGCTCGGAAACGCAAGGGCGATAAGACTCGATTTTCAAGAACGCAGGTCGCTCGGATTGGACGGTTTCGAGTCTGTTGTGTGTCTAGAAACATAATAACTTGAATTGAATTGACTTTCTGTTCAGCGCGTCTTTGATTGTAGCAATGTTTACGCCACTGTACGAAAATACGCACACTCGCGAATTTGACAACATTCACTTGAGCGTTTTAGGATAGTTGGAATAGAAGCAAATAGATGGAAATGCCAGTTACGTCACTCATGAAGATTGATGATTCGATTGCTGGCCGGGATAGATGTATTTAGTGTTCATTTCTATGAATATTGTCTACACCTGCGATTCTCAATTTCGATGTGTAAAATCATATCGCTGCTGTGAACGGCGACGGCTGACAGATTGTTTTGGTTCTGCGGCTCTCTTGGCATGGGCAACTGATTTTTAGGTTTCTGTTTTTTTTTGATATTCTGACGTTCACTTGTTCGTATTTTGTATATATCACTCAGACACTGACAACAAGTAAGTAAACGGGCCGGAACATAATCAACATGTCAGTGGGACTCTGAAGGCCCCGGAGAAAGCGCCATCTTACAACATCAATGAACGAAATTTACAAGTACTGTTTACAATATACTGCATAATGGAAATAACATACCTATCTAACCGCTGTTGATTTTTGTACAAAATTCCAAGAACACAAAACAAACAACTGACAACAATCGACAAAACAAAAACACTACACAGTCACTGTAACCACACCAGTAAGAAAAAGATACTGTGGAACTCATTGCAAATGTAAATACAAAATAAATGTCAGTGAATGCAATATTTAATAATTTGCAGCCTCCATGGACAAGTTCACAGCCTCTAATATTGCAAAACCGTTAGTTGTGAACTGAACTTTAAATCTCATCAGGATA